GAAAGAGGACCGGGGGGGGGATAGGGAAAAGGGTGGGGGAAATAAAACGTGAAGAGGGAGGAAATAGGAGGCGGGCTGTCCGCTGACAGCTCGGACAATTGTCTAAGATCGTACTTGGTGCATCTGTCTGCGAGTTTTTGTGTTTTTTTTTTGGTAAACAACGTTAATTAACTCAGTACTTGGTGCATCCGTCTGTGAGTTTTCTTTTGTTTTTGTTTTCGTAAATAACGTTAATTAGCTCAGTACTTGGTGCATCTGTCCGTGAGTTTTTTTGTTTTTTGTTTTTGCAAATAACGCTAATTAACTCGCAGACAGATACAGATGGTGCATCTGTCTGTGAGTTAATTAACGTTATTTGCAGTGCTCATGACCGCAATCGCCGTTGATTAACGGAGCGACGTCGTACAGCCTCGGTTAGATGATCGGGATCTTGCTGCCACATGGACTTCTGTTTTCCCGCCATTGTTGCTTAATTCTCTGAGCTATCATCCATCCAACTGATCCATCGACCGACTAATTAGCTTCTTTATTGATTGGATCATCAATCATTAGTTCATTGATTGGTCATTTGATTGATCCGTCAATTGACAGAATGCGTGATTGATTAACGGATCGGTTAATCAATCGGTTTACCGATCGATCGATCGATCGATTGATTTGATTTGATTCATAGATGATCGATCGACGGAACGATCGATTGATTGCTCGACTGATTGATTAATTGATTGATGAATGAACAAGTTCGCAGGCAAGTGTTGACGTGGCGGTGTGATGCCTTTTCGAGATGCGGCTACGTGGACATTATAAATAAATAAATAAATAAATAAATAAATAAACGCGGGAGGAAACGCGATCGCGGAGGCGAAAGAAGAAAGAAAACCAAGAAGAAAGAACGAGCAGGTGGAGTAGAACGAACAAGGGACGCGGCAGACTGTGAGTTTTTTACTTACTTCTGGACGTAATGACGGTTACATACATTCAGGTACGGCTGCACGTTCTTTCTTCTTGATCGAACAAGGATCACTAGACCTTGCAGAATCGCGGAAAACGACGAAGATCGGGGTCCGGTTGGGCTCGCAGACATCAGCGGGAACTCGTTTCGGCCATCGATTGCCACCA